TTTTCGGGCCCCTTCCCTGGCCATCTCAGACGGTGCCTTGGGGCGAGCTTCTAGGATTCGAATGGCCCATGCGTTTCACGTCGGGGTGGCTCGTTTACGTGACCGATTGTGCCGAATTTGTTCGAGGTTGGTGCGATCGGGTTTTTCTTGCCCCCGATGAGGCGCAAGCAGACGTCCGACGCTGCATCGGCAGTCTGCTCGAAGCTCAGTCCCGCCCAAGATATCATATTACAGGTCTCCAGATTCCGTTTGATCTCCAGGGCCAGGAAGTCATTTTCCAGGGTTGGTCTTCTTGGTTGATCCAGGGCCGCGCCTGTGTTGACGTCCTTGCAGGCGAGACCGTCACCAGAGACCGGGTCTTGGAATCAGAGTGTTGCAGAATCCTCCGCACTGAAAGAGAAGCTCGTCTACTCAGGAGGAGGCTGCTCCGTGTCGCTCCCGAATCCATCTGTGCCTCCCAGGCGCGTGAGGAGACCCCTGGGGCCCCTGGTCGTCGCCCCCCCTACTCTTCCCCACCTAAAGCTGTGGCATGCTTCGCGTCTACCCGCATCCCGGCCGAAAGTGGCAGGTCGTGTCTTGTGTGCCGTGGTTATGCTTGCAAGAGCACGGAGACCGAACGGTTAAAACGTGAGGGCTATCAGTTGCTGCCCGCGAGATGTATATTATCCCGGCCCCCCCCCAGGACGGAATTTCAATTTGGCTGGTTGCTGCACGCACCCCACCACACCATGCATTCTCACAAAGACCTCGACTTGTGGTTTTGCGAACCTCGCGGATATTTCGGCCAGGCCCAGCTCAGCAGTTTACCGAATACGTGCCGCCCCCATCTCATAACCAAGGCCAGGCGCGAGTACCGCGATCGTATCTCTCGCGACCTGTTTCCCAAGTGCTGAGCCAGCATGCCTTCTTCATTACTGCGTGATGGCGGAAATCCCAAAAATCCCCCCAGCACAGGAGAGCGAACGAGGGAACGAGCGAGGGAGCGAGCGAGATGCCGTGCAGCCGTGGAGACCAGGCCCTCTCGGGCCGTCGCCCTCAGATCTTGCAGACTCCCTGAAACAACGAATTCCAATGTTCCGGGTCGTCTGCGGCTTGTGTCGCCCAAGCTAGATCGTTGGCGTCTCCGCGGCGTCGTCTAGCACAGTCTTCTGGTGGGAATTCGTTGGGTCGGCGGGCGTGTAGGAGGAATAGTCGGATCTCGTCGTCCCACCGCTTGCGCCGCCCACCATGACTGCGGCATTCCTGCTGGGATGCGCCTGCTCCAGGGTGCAAATGTACAGCTTGGCTCGTCCAGCCACGCGATAAGCACATCTCTACGTGGACTGCCGTTGTGTCGTTAACCAAAATCTCACCAGCCCTTTGGGCTAAGGTGGTCTAGCGATACCTTTCCTTCCTAATCCAAGACCCTCTTCCTTTCGGGCAGGTTTGCCTCCCACCCTCCCCCTGGTTGTTTGAAGGGTTCGCGATCGGTTAGGGCGCCCAAGATGGCCCAAAATGGCTCCAAGAGAGCATCCGATGCTCCAAGATAGCTTCCAAAGCGGTTCAAGATAGCCGAAGGTGGTTCAAGATAGCTTCTGACATGCCTCGGTAAGGCCGACGAAGGCAACACGACGCATCCAAGTGATCCTGGAGCCCCCTCCGGACCCCCCCAAGAGGCCAAAGTCTGGCAAAAACCTAAGGACGCTAAAGGATGTGTGCCTTCTCGCCTTTTCGCTTCCGATGCGCTTCTGAAGCCTCAAGATGGACCCAAAATGGCCAAGACGGCCGCAAGAGAGGCCCAAGAGGCCCCCAAGACGGCCACAAGAGCGTCCGAATGGGGCCCCTAAGAGGCGATTTTGATGGCCCCACAGGGAGGGAACAAACGTTACGACCCTTCTCTTTTCACCTACGCCCTCCAAGATGGCCCCAAGAGGCTCTCCAGGGTTCCCAACAGGCCCCCAAGGGAGCCGCAAGAGGGCCCCCAAAAAGTGCCCCAATAACGCCCCAAGAAGGCCCCCAGAGGGCCCCAAGAGGACCCCTAGATCCCCCAAAAGAGTCCCAAGAGGGCTCGACGAGGCGATGTGAGGGCTTTGTCCTCGTCCGCGTTGTCCTCCTTCTCCTCCTCCTCCTCCTCCTCCTCCTCCTCCTCCACCTCGTCCTTGACCTTGCCCTCATCTTATTCCTTTTCCTTCTCCTCCTCTTCCTCGTCGCCGTGGTCGTCGTGGTCGTCGTCGTCGTCGTCGTCGCCGCCGCCGCCGCCGTCGCCGTCGTCGTCGTCGTCGTCGTCGTCGTCGTCGTCGTCGTCGTCGTCGTCGTCGTCGTCGTCGTCGTCGTCGTCGTCGTCGTCGTCGTCGTCGTCGTCGTCGTCGTCGTCGTCGTCGTCGTCGTCGTCGTCGTCGTCGTCGTCGTCGTCGTCGTCGTCCTCGTCCTTCTCCTCCAGCTTCTTTTTCTCCTCCTCCTCCGCCTCCTCCTCCCCCTCCCCCTCCTCCTCCTCCTCCTCCTCCTCCTCCTCCTCCTCCTCCTCCTCCTCCTCCTCCTTCCCTCGCCCCCACGCGGGCCCCAGGGATGGCCCGAAGACGCCCTCCAAGGTCAACCCCTTGCTCCAGAGATCTCTCTGTTCATTCTGGTTGCCCGCTTTGATTCACTATATGTGTCTCTGCGTCCCATTTCCCGTCAGCTCTGATGGGCAAGGTTTGTGAATGGTCTGGTGGGGATACGCGAAACGTCATGAATTGAATACCGTGCTGGCGACTGGCGAACAAGATATTCCGTAGGGCGGGAAGGAGGAGGGAAAGGAGGAGGAGGAGGACGACGACGACAAAGAGGAAGCGGCGGAGGAGGAACGAGGAAGCGAGGGAAGATACTGCCGATCATGGGGAGGATGGCAGAGACGAGGAGGATGACGAGGAGGACGGCGACGAGACAAGACAACACAAGAGTAAGAATGACAGGTTCTCCCGCTCCCGTCGTCGGAGGGAGAGGTTGGGAGACTGTCCCTCCTCCTCCTCCTCCTCCTCCTCCTCCTCCTCCTCCTCCTCCTCCTCCTCTTCCTCTTCCTCTTCCTGCTGCCGCCACCCCACCCCCGCTGCAAGCATGGCTCACGCTCCACCAGCGGCTGGCCGAGTGGAGGAGCTGGGAGGGCGACCGAGCTGGACGTGACCAGATCTCGCGGCCCTGGCCTCGACCAGCCTCGATTGCCCGATGCCCCCGCAAGCCCCGCCCGCCGGAGCGGAGGGGAGGCCGGGCAGCACCCGAATGCCCGGAGCGCGCCCGACCTGCTCCCGGCCCGAAGTGCCGCCGAGGTCCTTCCAGACGAGGCCCTTGCGGCCCAGGGCAGAGGAAGTCCCCGCCCTCCGCCGGCCCAAGAGGCCCCGAGGGCACCCAGCGCGCCGCGCTCGAGAGGGGGGGGGGGGGAGGCTCCGACGCGAGGCTCCAAGCACGGTCGGCGCACTCGACCCTCGCTCCCCCCGTGGAGGGAGTGGGAGCTCCAGGATCCAGAATCGGGGCTTGGAGGGCCTCGTGTAGCCTTTTGGGCGCTCTTGGGCGCGTTCGATCCCGACCTTCGAATGCCTCTTCCATCGTGGGGGTTCGTCTTCGGGGACGCACTGGCTCGGGTCAGTACAAGCCCGGGTCAGTCAGGCCACGAATGATCCTGCAAAACCCTGCAGGGTCCTGCGCCCTGCAGGCTCCTGCGAGGTCTGGCGCTCTGACTGACTCCCGTTTTCATTGACCCCCTGGCCTCAGGGCTCCCGACGTCGTCCAGGGCCAGCGGCACTGGCCGCCGAGGCCTCAGCAACCGGGGTTTGGAACGATCTGCCCCCTTCTGCCCCTGGGGGCCTCAGGGGGCTTGCCGAGGCCGCCCAGGGTCAGGCCCTGGGGCGGCACTAAACGCTGCACGACCGGCGCACTCGCACCCGTCCTTTGTGCCTAATGCTCGCTGTCTGTTCGAGTTTGAGCGATCAGTGCCCGCTGGCCGGAAGCGGTGGGTAGAGACATGAAGCAGGAATGCGTTGGATGCAGATTGGGTTTCCGCCGTCACCCTGAGGACGAGGGACGAGGGAAGACCACTACACTCTTGAAGAAGGAAGGCGCCTAAAGTAGATTGGGACTTGGTCGTCCAAAAACTCATACTTTCAACGACTGGCGTATAAGTGTGACAGGGCCCCACGGGGAGCGGTCGCCGGTAGTTATTGCCCACGTCCTTCCTCTTCCAACTCTCCCTCCTTCCGCTCTCCTCCCTCCCCCCTTCCTTCCTTCCTTCCTTCCTTCCTTCCTTCCTCCTCCCACGACTGGCACCTCTGGCGTTCACTGGAGGAATACAGCATTCCTCCCTCCCCCGCCCTTCTCCCTCCCTCACTCAGCTTCTTCCCATCTCCTCCCTTCCGTCCCCCCCCCTCCTCCTCCTCCTTTTTCTGCTGCCTCTACGACATCCGATGGATTGATTTTTCTATCCCAAGGTGTCGAACCCTTCACAGGGGAGAGTTTCGAGTTTTTGATGGCCCCAGGGCTCGAAAAAAGCATCCGGAAGCCACAATGGATGAAACACGCTGGGGTGGGGGAAAAACCTGCACGCCCGAAGTCTGGCCCTTGGGGGTAAGCACCCGCCCCGCAGACCAGACCCGCCCATGGGGTGCGTGTTGGCCAGGGTCTCGAAGTGAACCTAGCCTTAAGTCGGGCCTGTCCCCCTACAGGGGGATTTTCGACGAACAATAAAAAATACACCCGAAATAATTCAAAAATAGTCCAAACATAGTCTGGGGACAACTTTTTGAATATTTTCTGGCCTTTGGGGGGTATTTGGAGGTATTTGTTATTTTTCGTCGAAGATCCCCCCTGTAGGGGGACACGCCCGACATAAATCTGGCCGTGGCGACGAGGAGCTCCTGGAACGCCTCCAGATGGGGAAACACGCCAAGGCACCTGGACCCTCGATCCCGAACTGGTTCGGGGGCTGCCCTGGAGGGGAAAAAGTCCAGGGGAGGCCCCGCGGGGGCGGAGCGCGCGCGCTCTGGGGCGGCGGCGCGGAGACTGTTCCGCTCCATCTCCTGTGGGCGGACCCTCGCCCTGCTCTCGACGTGCTGCTGCCGCGAGGAGGAGTGGGGAGGCAGGGGGGGAGGGGAGCAAGGAGGGGGAGGCGGGGGAGGAGGAGGACCAGTGTCAACCCAAGACGCACCAACGATGTTGCAATGCATCCTCCCTCTACATTACCGCTTCGTCGGTCCCGACCGTAGCTTACTTTTGTCGCGGGAAATTCCCATTTGAAAGAACATCGTCTGAGAATCATCAATCGTGCCATCATACCATCCCTCGGACTTCAACGCCGTGAATCAACGTGACTGTTGCGTCCTGGCAGTCCGAAGCTGTGCCAAAGCACCATTCCGGGGACTTCAGCACCGCGAGTCAACTGAGTGTCGCGTCCTGACAAAGTTAAACGGTGTTAGAATACCATTCCTGGGACTTGAACCCCTGCATACCTTTGAACCTGTTGGAAACGTTTGAAACGAATGCGCGCGGGGCTAAGGCGAGAGCCACATTTTGAAAATGAACCGACCTCCATCCCAAAAAGCAATTGCGAACTGTTCAAGCGGATGTGAGCGGCGATGAAGCGAAAGCCAACGTTTGAAAACCATCCGCCATCCATCTGTGAAATTCTGTTGAACTTTAAGACGGGTGTGCGCGGCGGTACGGCGAGAACCACATGTTGAAAACCATCTGCCCTCCATCCTTGACGCTGTTGCGAACTTTTAAGACGAATGCGCGCGGCACTGAAGCAAGCGTCTCATCTATAAAACCACCCGCTCTCCATCATTGAAGCCAGAGGGTGAGGAGAAGGAGGAGGAGGAGGAGGAGGAGGAGGAGCAGGGAAAGAAGCAAGAGGGATAGCGGGAGGGGTGTAAAATTGAAGGAAGAAGGTGGAGGCGGTGGAGAAGGATGATGCTGATGCTGATGATGATGGTGATGATGATGCTGATGATGGTGACGATGATGGTGTGGTGATGACGACCAAGGTGATGGATGGTGAGGGGGAGATGGCGGTATGAGAACGGGGGCTCTTGGGAGGGAAGCCATGGTGGTGGGGACAAGGCTCTCGGAGGTTCTCGGTCGGCGCAGGGGTGCGTCAGATGTATTCTTGGTTGTAAGGCGGTCTGCAGGGGTCTTCCTCCTCGCATTTAGCCGAGCGCCACATGTCCATGTGCCGCGGGACACCGCCGCCGCGATGCAGATCGCTCATGCTGAGTTCGAGAAAGTGGCAACGCAACAAGAGCCCTCTCCGAGCAAAGTGGGGTCCTCCTCGTCCTTCTCCTCCTCCTCCTCCTCCTCCTTTTCCTCCTCCTCCTCCTCCTCCTCCTCGGGTCTTCCTCCTCCTCCTCGTCCTTCTTCTCCTCCTTCTCCTCCTCCTGACGCCGCCAGCCGTTGCACGCTGCACTCAGACCACAGTGCCACCGTCGCCTGAGGGGCGAGACCTGGCGCGCGCCACAAGGCCAGGCCAGCCCCGCGCCCACCTGTGGCGCCGGGCGGCTGCTGGTGATATCAACTCGCGAGCGCTTTTCCGAGGTCCTCGAGCATACGACGTGGAAACACGTCGTGGAGCGGCGAACACACATCTTGGCAGCGCGGCGGGAATCACGCGGCCGACGCCCTGGCGGAAGCTGGAGCGGCCGCGTGCCAGGTTGCTGAAGAGGACCGGGCCTTCCCCTTCGGTTGCCTCGTCTCGCGCGGCTCCTCACCCGATACACTGGGCGCATGGAGGCCGCGCTGACGAAGCCGGCACGCGCGAGCATCAGGGTCTCGAGGCCATCCGCACGATTGAGCTTCAGGTGGAGGGGTGGTCAGGGGCTGCTCTTGAGGCTGGGGGGCCGCGGGGAGAATCGCACGCCGACAGGGGCGAACGCTGGACGCTCCGCCTCCAGTAGACCCTGGGTTGTGCACGGGCACCGCCGTTCTGCCGTCTGGGTCCACAAGTGGCGCTGCCCAGAGGGCGGCCACTTGGGCCCGTCCTCGTCAACTTTGGTCTGCGCGACCTGCTGGGTGATGCAACGTGCCCTGGCCGAGGCCATGGACTCGTGGCACCCTGTCTGCCCAAGCAGGCTGGTCAGCCGCGCCGCGGGTGAAAAAATCAAGCAGCCACCTGAGCCGTGCGACGCGACAATCGGTGAGGCATGCAGCCCGTCGGAGGCTGTCCGGGCGTGCTGAGCCAGCCACTTCGGCGTGGAAGGGACTGAAGGGGCACATTCTGGGACCCCTGCTACCCGCAAACGCCGTGCCGCCACAAGACCCCCCAGTTGGTTGGGGTGCGCCGAGCCCAAGAGTGGCAGTGCGCGACGTCCTGATAGGGTTCGGCTTTAACGCGCACGGCCAAGCCGAAAGACTCGGCCGCGAGGCGCTTCGGCTGGCCGCTGAGCGGGCCAGACGGCCGGCCAGCGAGGTGGGGTGCCTTCGTGGACATCCGTCTTCTCCTCTTCCTTCTGTAGTCGCGTATCTCCTCCGCCTCTTCCTTCTCCTCCTCCTTTGCATCCGTCCTCATGCCGTTCCGCTCGCCCTCGCTCCAACTCGTCCTCCCCCTCTCTGCCTCCTCCTCCTGCTGCTCCTGGTACTCCTACGCGCCCCAGTCGGTCTCCTCCTGCCTCCTGCCTGTTCCTTCTCCTCTTCATCCTCCCTCGTCATGCTGGCTCCTCCTCCTCCACACCTTCATATACTGTGTGCAGCCATTAGCGCGTCGGGTGCCGCCGGCGAGTCCCGTCCACACAACTTGCGCTGCCCGTTCCTTGACTGTGCCTCGTCGGGACTGTGCGAGCGACGGGTGAGGATGGTCATGCAGACGGGTACAGCACCAGCTGCGCAAGCGCGGGAGCGGCGAGCAACTTCTGGCCCCTCTCCCTCTCCCCCTTTGCGGGCGTGGCCCCAAACCGACCCCTACCGTGACCAGCACCTCCCCTGACCTCATCCTCCCTCTACAAGCTTCCCTCCTGCCGCATGCACATGTCTTGGGGTGAGACGAGGGGGACGTCACGGAAGGGGATGGTCTGCTAGGGCCAAGTGAGCCCAGAATCGAATCGATGAGTCGGATCGGCGATCGGACTGAATCGGATCGGCGGAAGTCGGCAGCCGAGTCGGGAGAAGTCGAATCGGCAGATGTCGGCAGGCCAGCAAGGCCTCCGTGGGGGAATCGGAGCCCACATCGCCATCCGAAGCCGAATCGCATCGAAATCGGAAGCCATCGACACCGAATCGAACCGAATCGGAGGAGTCGAAGCGAGCCCTGCTCGGGGTCGGTCGGGCCGCCCCGGACCTCTCCCTCGCCCCGCCGTCCTCCCCGAGGCGACTCCCTCGGGGGTTGCCAGAGGGGCTCCTCGCCCAGGGTGCCCCCCGGCTCTTCGCTCGAACTCGGGGCCCCTGGGGCCCCCTGGGCCTTGCGAGGGGTGCTCCCTGGAGGCCGGGGGGGCCTCCTCGAGAGACTCCGGGGGGGCACCTTTCTGGGCCGGGGGCACTTCTGGCAACACCCGGCCCCCCCATCGCGGCGGGGGGCGCGCGGTCCGGGCGCACGCCGCCCGGCGCGGCGGGCGGCTGCGGCGGCGGAGGGCCGCCCGGCTGCCAAGCAGCGCCCGCGTGCCGCAGCCGCTGCTGCTCCGCGCGGACGTCCTGGCGGCGCCTCGCCTCCGTTTCCCGAGCAGGCAGCGGTGGTGCAGGCAACGGCGACGTAGGTTTCGGTAGTGCGGGAACGCGTTGCTCGAGCTTTTCTACAATTCGCTGTGTCGTGTTCGCTCGATCCATTCGCAGATTGGACATGTAGGGAAGTGTGGTTCGTGATTTCCCACAATTTGGTTCCCAACATCACCGCCAAAACAACATCGCCGTTAGCCTGGCCTCGTCGTCCTGTCCCTCCTGCCCTCGCTTCGGCAGCAACTCACGGGAGCCTCCCGTACCAGCCCGTTGGCCCCTGCGAATCGACGCTGGGTCGACGCTCGCCGAAGCGGATCGACGCGAGATCGGCGCTGTCACATCGACTTCCAGACGTTGAGCGACGCTCATGCGCTCTAGAGACGGAGTTGCGAGGGTATACAAGGCCCCAACCGATTGGCTACCGAACCTCACTCTCGGTCTCCCCCCTTCCTTGCGGTCAAGGGCGTTAGCTTCGCGTGTCGCGGCGGCGGCTCCCGCGACACGCTGTGCCCTGCGAGCGGGTAGCGCGTCACTGCGCTCCGCGGGGCGGGAGGCTTCGAAAGGCTCGGGACCCTGACGCCTGGGCTTCTGCTGCTCCTCCTCCTGTAGCAAACCACCCTGTAGCGAAAACGACACAGGACCAGACCTGGCGGGCGCAAGCCCCCTCATCCTGTGGCCTCAACACCCTCTCGAAATCACCCAAAAGGGTAAATCGCTCATCGACGTGGCCGGGTGGGGGGTTCTGTCAACCTCCGATCCTCCTCCAAGGGGGCCCAAGCCGCCCTGGTCCCTCACTGCTCTGGCCTCTTCTTCTCTGAGGCCCTCCGCCCGCCTCCGCAGCCCGCAACCTCACGAGATCTGTTGGTTCCAGGTGCGCCGCCGTGCCCTTCGCCGCTCCTGCCCTCAGGCCGAGGCCGGAAGAAGCCGCTGGCAGCCGAGGTCACACCCTCGTGAACGGAGAAGCAGGTTGCCTCTGCTGGCTGGAATCGCGGAACCCCTGCTGGACAACAGCTGACCTCGAGAGACGCTCTCTGGCGAACCTCGGCGCGGCTCTCGAGCCACAGCTCGCAAATAACCTCGATCTGGAGGCGGCAGGCCTCTGCTTTCTCACGTGGCGGGCGCCACAGAGCCATCGGGAGATACGAAACTTCGGTGGGGCGCCTGCGGGCAAGCCTGTTTCAGATTTGACGTGTCTACTGTTGGACTGAACTTAAAGTTCCCTCAGACAGACGGATTGTGCGCTGCTGGTGGCCGAACATGGCGGAACCGGGTTCCACTGGACCGCCGTCGGTGGGGCTGCGGGTGTGTCGGCGTGGCGTGACCCTGGCGCTGTCCGTATGCGTGCGCGCGTGCGACGGCACCCACGCCGCCGCCTACGCCAGCGCGCGCCATCAGCACTGTCGCTCGCGCCTTCGTGGGCGGGACGTGCGTCGGAGGGGCTCGCCGTGCTTCTCCTCTGGTTGTCCTCCCTCCACGTAATTACGGGGGGTCATCCGCCGCGCCCGCGTGCGGTCGCGCTGCCCGCTCAAAAAAAGCTGTATACCTGCGCGCGTGAGAACAGTGCTCGACGGTGGCGACGCGGGGAGGGCCGACAGCGGGGAGCACGCGGGTGCCAAGCCCCCCGGGGACCCCGAACCTGCGCGTCCCCCACGAGACGCCGACCCCAACATCCCACGTGTGGCGGGAGTGGACCGCAACGTCAGCCACCGCCCCTGCCCTCAAGGGTTCCCAGTGCAACCACCTAAGCACCCAGCCCGGCCCAGCCCCAGGTGCGTGTCGTGAGGAGCAAGCGCGTCCCTGCGTGGGTGCGAGGTGGGAAGCCTTCTTCTGGGCGGCCCTCTGGGCGTAGCACGGCGTTACTGCATACCCGTCAAGCGCCATTCCAGGCCGGCCATCCAGCTGCCTGGCCAATGCCACCGTGCTGTTTTGCTGGGCGGTCTCCTTGAGTCCTCCCCCCATCGATCTCCTCCTTCTCCTTCTCCTCCTCCTCCTCCACCTCCTCCTTCTCCACCTCCTTTTCATTCCTTCACAGGCAGCATAAAGGGACGTCTGAAGAATCCTGCGGAAGACCTCAGGAGGGCAATGGCCGCAACTCCAAGGCGGGCCGACGGATGCCAGCATCCTGGAGGCAGCTCCAGCCCTGTGCGCAGCGGCGCGGCTGGGGCCAAGACAGAGAAAGTGAAGCCCAACCACGCCCAGTGGGGACGCTGGTGGGGCTGGTCCCTCAAGAATATTAGTCCGAGTCGCTCTCGCAAGAGTGCTGCGCAGCCGACAGAAGTGGACGCTCGTCCTCCTCGACGCGGAGTGACGTCTCAAAGTCCGCCTGCCTGTGTCCAGGTCGTCGGTGGGGGCAGCTCCCGAAGGTACAGTGCCGCGCCCAGCCTGTACAGTCGCATAAGAAGATGCGATGGTGGGGACAATCTGCCTGCCAGTGGCCAGGCCGTCAGTGGGGGGCACCTCCCGAAGGTGTACAATGCAGCGCCCACCCTGTACAGGCGCAGAAGAAGAGGCGACGGTCACCCACTTCCTGGGCCCACCACTCTGCAGCATTGTGGCGGATCCGCCAAGGTCGGGTGAGGCGGGTCCCTTTCGGCCACGGCAATTTCCCGCGGCGTAAGGAACGAACCTGAGCAACCTTCACTCGCACGCAGCCCGTGAGAAGGTGCTTTTGGGAGCGGGTGAAGTACGACCCACACCTGCTGCAATAAAGAACAGGTATCTTTGAGCTAGCCCCCTGAGCCGCCCAGAGCGTGTGCCGTGGTTCGTCAAGCTCCCCTCGGACGGGGTTCCCGAAACTGGCCGGTCTCCGCCTCCTGCTCCTGCTCCTGCTGCTGCTCCTGCTCCTCCTGCTCCTCCTCCTGCCACCTCCTTTTCCTCCTCCTCCTCCTCCTCCTCCTCCTCCTCCTCCTCCTCCTCCTCCCTCGGCTTCGTTTTGACATGTGGCCTGGGTATAACGGCAAATGAGAATGCGATGCTTAGCTCGTAGAAAACCTTTCACGAATTACTGCGATGTGCAGCCAGTCCGCTGCCACTGCCTGCAAAAGGAAACCTGCGGCACGGCCGAACTATTGCCGCGATGATGTGGGTCAAGCATACGGGTTTGGGCAAGAGCGAGGAGGTGGAGGGATGGGAAGGAAGGTGCTCTCTTTCGTCTAGAAGCCAGAACTTGTATTTATCCACCGCCTGAGGATCTGACGCCCCAGGATCCCAGGTGGGGGTGGATATGAATTCATTTGGGCCCCAGGGGTGCCGAATGTATCCATATCCATTCACTGCCTCCCAGGGTCTAGGAAGATGGGTTCTCCAGGCTGTGGATGCGGCAATTGTAGCCACGGAGAAACTGAGGCGCCGTCCGTTGTTGCCAAAAACGGCGATCTGAGATGCCGTCCAGTGTTGCCAACTTCGACGATCCTTCGAGCATGCGTATGGGAATGGCTCCCTGAGGGATTCTCGCGCAACACCTGCGGGCAATCTCGCCGCACCTCGAACGATCCTAGGATGCCCCTGATCGGCAATCCCATGTGAAAGGTCGTGTCCCTCCTCCTCCTCCCGGGTTGCTTCCCCTCCCCCCGCCCGTGTCCTCCAGGTCTATCCGCAGCGCACCCATTGCCGTCAACTGGGCGACCTTGAGCTCCTCTGCCTCCCGGTCCCGAAGCACCTTCCGGCCAAGGACGCAGCACAAGGGAAATGCTGGCAGGGGCGAACTGCCCTCATGTCTGGGCGCGCCATGATCAAATCCACACTGGCGTTTGTGCCCCGTTTCGGGCCCGGGGACCTTCATGGATCGAATTGGCCTGAGACACCTAATCTGAAGATGGGCGTTGCGCTCACGACGTCAGATGTTGGGGTAGGGGGTGAGAAGAGGGAAACAAAAGGAGGATGCTGCTGCTGCTGCTGATGAGGAGGATGAAGAGGAGGAGGAGGAGGAGGAGGAGGAGGAGGAGGAGGAGGAGAGGAACAGCACAACAAGGAGATACAATGAGGAGCATCAGGAAATATGAAGATGATCGAATTCTCCTATTATGCACGAGGTCTTCACCATGAAAGCCGAATTACCACTAACCGGTTCATTAGAGGAAGTGCGCGAGTGAATAAAACTGGCTGCTTCGCGCAGCTCGGAGGGGGAGGGAATGAAAAAACGAGCGAGGGCTAGCATAAACAGACATCACGATTACACCTAGCGAGAAGGGATTCCCATTCCGGGCGTCAACTTCCCACTCAGTGTCCTCTGGGATCCGTTGCACCTGGAAATCCAACTGACCAGCCAAGCCTCGATTACTCGATTGTGATCGATTGTGCGCTGGGCATCAAGCATATCTGGCGTGAGGGCCAGAACAGGAAAAGCATCAAGCACAGAGCCCATCATGCTTTCGCGCAAAATCAGCATACCGAGACATATTTGTACCTCCAGCGGCAAGTGCCTAAGGGTCATGACCTCCGGGGTCCTGCCCAAAGGCCAGGCGGACGTGAAACTGCAAGCCCGCGGAGGCGACCAGTACCGGGGGCAGGGCCGCCAGCTCGACCACCGCTGACCGGAGCAGCAGAACCACTGTCGTGAGATAAGTCAAGAGGAGGCCGACACGGCACATGCTAAAACAAGTCGTCCCCAATGCCCGACGTTCCAACACCCCATCTGCGCATGAACTGGTAAAGGGAGCTCTGGATCTGGATTTCCTCTGGTAGGACATGGAACTGATGCGAACAATCCTCCTGGCCCACTGAATGATCGTGCTGCTGTCCATTTTCACGTCCAGGAGCAGATTGGAATTCGGCGCCGACTCAGGCGTCCATTTTTTGTTCCGTTGACAGTTTTGCTTGATGCGTGTGAATGAGGGGGGGCGATCCCGGATTGCGCCGCCGCCGAGCGTGGCTGTTAGCCTGGATGCCGGAAGTGGCAAATACATTGAATCAGAAATTGCGTCGGTCAGGCCCTGGAACCCACAGAGACCTCTGCTGTATTATCAAAAAAAAAACTAGCGATCAATATCCAGGGCTTTGCTATGCATGCCACCCTTGTGCTGGGGGGGATGGGAAAGATCGCCGCGAGCGCACCAAGGGATCAAAATGACTTGGCGATCCTGAGTTTCTAGAGTATCAGTCAATGGCCACCGACAAAAGCATGCTGCCAGAAGGACAAAGACACTCGAACGTGAAAACCACAAGCACGCAAACGAAGAAGCACTTGGTGACAGCAAGCCTCGCGAGTGTCCTCCAATGTTCACATGCAACACCACTTCGAAAGAGAAACGGTGATCGACCGCGATGTAACATATCATGAATTAGCCACAGCCGGGAGCATGAGCCTCCCCAAACGCCCATCCCCCTTAGTGGGACATGGTGAAAACAGAATCGTCTGAATACCCCCAACGCTGTATAATAACAGTTTCTAGCGCGCATCGAGCGCCAAGCAAACCCCTGCCAGCGCGCATCAGGAACGACTCCACCTCGCCGAAAGGGCAAGGCTTCGACGGGGCAGCGGTGGCGAACGTCGACGCGCCGACGTGCAACACGTCCCCATGCACAGGGCGGCGGACGACTGTGCACCACCCGAGCAGCACCGCTGGGGCGCCTCCGCCTCAGCGAAAGGGCACCCTGCGGAGGTGCCCTGAAGCAGGACTTAGAGCCACCGTCGAAAACTCGAGCACCCGATGAAGCAGTGCAACTCCGAGCCCGACCGTCCAAACAAAGACGCTCACGAGTCAGCGCCGTGGGCAAGTCGGAGAACTGGCAGAGCAGGATGAGGAAACCCAGAGCTGCGCTTGACCCGACGCGGCGATGGGCGCTTTCGGCTTTCCTGCAGCGGCTGCATGTGCCGCCCCCTTGGGCCGTGAATTTGAAATCTCTGAGGGCCGCCCCCCGCGCCTGGAGATGCATGGAATCCTTTGCCAGCCTTGGCGCGATCTCGCGCATGCCGAGCTGATCCGTCTCGGGGGACCTGCGACCTTTGAGCAGCGCCATGATGTGCAACGTGCGGAACGGGGACATGGACAAGGATGCGCCCGCAAGGCACACGGGCGCCTTGGTGCTGACGGGCTTGGAACTGTCGACGTGGCCCTGCGAGGAACCATGCGCCCGGGCGTCGTGCAGCTCGCCGCGCTTGAGGATTTCTTGGCGCCGCGCGGGTGGCTCAGCGCGATCGATGAGCGTCCGGCTGTCCCGCGGCTCGCCTCTGTCGATGAAGTCGCCGCGTCCGCCGCCGCAACCAGTGGCAGTGCCGTCATCCTGATCGCCGGGCTCGCTCGCCCCCGAGCTGTCCTGCGCAGCCAGCCGCCGCGAGGGATGCGAGCTCAACCGCCCGGGGGCTCGCGAACTGGGCCGCCCGCCCCTGGGTGGGGAGCTGGAAGCGGGAGCGATTGGAGCGATTTCAGGAAACAACCTGCCCTGGCCCGTCGTCTGGGAATGGGCGCCGGCGTCGCCCCCAGTCTCCGCCCTTCCAGGCCGCCCGGGGGCCCTGTAAGTCGCCGTTTGTGCCGAAGCTGTCGCACTTGGTGCAGTCGCCGCCCTGCTCGAGCTCGAAATTCCATTAGCCGAATTCCGAGAGCGCGATGCTGGAGTCCAAGATGAGCCCCGCGGAGCCGAAGTCAGATGCCGAGCTGCTAATTTCGGGCGTCTGCTCAGCTGCCGCAAGCTCGCGATGCCGATCGGCTGCGGCGGGCCCCGCCGCTGGGAGTCAAGTGCGCCCCTATCGGCATGCAGCTGAGCTGCGAAGGTAAGATATGCGTCGCCCTCGTCTCCGGCCTCGAACATCGGCGGAATCGTCGCGGAGCTGGCCCGCTAGACCTGCCTGCCCCTCTTAGCTGCGCGCCGCCCCGCACGAGGTGGGCGGCCCTGCCGAGAAGGCGCCCCCCCCCGCCAGGGCCTTCGATTCTTCGATCGTGACTCTTTTGCGCTTCCTGCCCTCGGTGGCGCGATCAAGATGGGCTTGCCTGCGGCGAGGCCCGAGCCGAAGAGCCCGTCAAACTTGCGCGCCAACTTTGCGCCTCGGGGTCCGCTCGAGGAACGCGCCCGTCGGATGCTCGACCCCCCCATTCATGTCCAACGCGGCCCCCCCTCCCATCGCCCAGAGAATTGCAGCGCGCATCCTCTCGAGTGGCCCTCCTCGCCCGCGCCAATCCCGCCCGACGCTTCCGCGCTCCTGCCCCCCTCAGCGCTTTATGTCCAGGCATGTGGGCCCAGCGGGAAGCCTGGGCGACTGGGGTCTCGCCCGGGGAGACCCACCTCTCGCGCCAAGTGTCGCGCTGGAGCAAAAAGCTCGAGGCACTGGCGAACAGACGTTCTAGCAGACGGATCTTCTCGGGCCGGTGGCCGGCGCTTTCTTCCGCAGGGCCGGGCGAGGCGCGCGCTTGACGCGCCGCTTGCTGGGCTCAGCACGTTGCTTGCAAGCCCGAGCGATGATGCGGATCGCGCCCCCGCGAACTTTTTCGCCCATCTGGGAATTATCTGGCCCCGAGCGACCCTTCATGCCCATGGGCAGCCGCGCTGCCATAGATTGCAAATGCCTTCGTGTTCTACCTTGGCGAAACTAGTGCTCTCGGCGAGGTCACTTAAGGATGGCTCTGCCGGGGAAGCGGGGGAAGGGGGAGGGGGGAAGTCCTCCATCTGGCGTTTTCTGCATGATTTGTGCATCCGCCTGATGCTTCGGGAGGTCCCATGGTCGCTGGGGCGCCTCTGCCCGGGAAGCGGGGGGGGGGGGGTCCTCCATCCGGCGTTTTCTAAATGATTTGCGCATCCCCCAAATGTTTCGAGGGGTCCCAAGGTCGCTGGGGTGGCTCTGCTGGGGAAGCGGGGGGGGGGTCCTCCATCTGGCGTGGCCACATCGAGCGTCAGGCAACACCTCATCGACTCAGTCCCAACCGGCCCCCCCCGCCAAAGTACGGCGAGATCTTAGCGCGGTCTCTGTCATTCCAGAAGCCCCTGCACCGTGGGTCGCAGCAGGCAGCAAATGCGTGCGCCACAGGTAAGCAACACAGTCCCCAACATATGTACGCACTGGCAGAATGATGGCCTTACGCTTGCAAGCCTCGCGCACCCAAGCCGACTCTTGGGCCCTGTACGCACGGGGCCCGTGAAGCCCGTGCCTGAGGTTACGTGTAGCCTTCTTGGAAGCCAAGTTGAGGCGAGAAACATACTCAGACAAATGCTTTTGGAAACGGCTCCCGCCTCCGCCCAACCGCCCGTTCCCCCACCCGCTTAAAGCTTAAGGCTCTGGGGGTCACGTTGGGGAGTGCGGCGACACAGGCGGTCATGCTACGGTGGAGCATTGCCATCAGCATCGTCGCTGCCATCGAACAGCCTTCAGCGATGTCATGCGACGATACAGCCTTACACGACAAACCACCATAAACTCTGAACAACGAGGCTGCACGTAGGTCTGCACCGCGGGGGGGAGGGAGGATGGGGGGAGATTGAGGGAGGCGGAGGGTTTCGGAAGGGGGGTAAGGAGGGGGAGGCGGAGGGAGGAGGAGGGATTCGGACAGAGGAGGAAGGAGGATGAGGAGGGGGAGGGAGGTGGAGGAGGAAGGAGTGAGGAGGAGGGAGGAAGATGAGGAGGGAGGGTGGGGAATAATAATAATAATAATACTAATAATAATAATAATAATAATAATAAGAGCAGAAGAACTAACAAGAAGAGGGACGGGGGCATAGAAGGAGATGGGAAGGGGGGAACGCAGACACGTGCCGACCAGCGGAAAAAGACACGGCGTGCGCCGCCGCGGCCTTCTCCTCCCGCAAGATGTCCCTCAGCTCCTGGGGGCAGCCGAGGCAACTCGCTATTTCGGGCGGGGGGGGCGGGGCGGCGGCAGTGGCACCTCTCCGCACGTGGCTCGTCGCGGCGTGAGCACGATAGGACAGCAGCTCG